CGCCTTAATAACGGATACCCCAGAGAATTTATAAAAAATAATGTAGGGGTTATAAAGGGACGATTTCAACTTGGAGTTTATGATAATCAAATCAGGAATCAGGATGATAACCAAAAGTGGTTTGTTTGACCTCATAAGAATTGAGCCAACAATTGCGACCGTTACAACTGAAATGGAATATCAAGGTGAAAACAAAGGAGGAGAAAACACTTTTCACCAGTCTGCCTACGAAACACGAGAAGACGGACAAGCTTGATTGCTCGGGAGTTTATCGCATCAAATGCGGCAAGTGTGAGCAGAAGTACATCGGTGAAACAGGAAGAAAAATCGGCATACGAATCAAGGAACATCAAGGAGTCTGCAGGAACATGGATACTAAAAGATTGAAATAGCGGATCACATTGCACAAACGGGGAAATATGACTAAGTTGCGAAAACAAGCTCAAACAACTTTTATGGACAAATAGTTATAGAAAATTCTCCCATTTAAGAGGGATAAGATGATAGGCTGGACAGAGGTAGCTAAATGGAAGTCCTGATGGGGTTCCAGAAGTCCCATGAACGGCATCTGAAACTGATTGTGAATCCACTGGCAGTTACACTCTTATCAAGCAATGTAGAAAACGAATCTTAAATGTTCAAGATTAAACCTTTGTGCCATACCATCCTAATAGCTATCAATTATGACTAGACAATAAAAAGTAATTGCTGAAAATCTCGATAAAGATTAAAGTGCTTAATTACTTTGGAAGATATTCCTAAATGTATTATGGAAGAAAAAACCTGGAATTTGCGCACAGTAAATAATATTTTCCTTCGGAGCACCTTTGAAGCGGAGAAAGCTGGATACAATTTAGCAATAAAAATGTTAATATTAGAATAAGAAGAAATTTGAATTTCCACATCGTTATTGTTTATTACTAGATTACAGTCTAAACGTTTAGTAGTTTTTTAAAATTACTCGGATTCCTTAGCTATAGGAAAGTTAGTTTATGAATAAAATCTCGACACAATATATTATCACAATAAAATCTATAATTGTTTCCCTTTATCCAATTATACACAACTCTCCTACATTACATGAAAATACTTTGATCAAATCGAATTCACCTCATTCACGATTCAACCGATACACCACCTTATCAACCAACACCTTTAATTAAAATTTCATATACTATAACAAATAAGGATATTATCCTTCACTCTATCCTAGTACATATAATTTTATTATTACCGAGTTCAGAATAACAAAAGTTATGACAATCGCATTCTAATCGTATTAATCCTCCTTAGAGAAAGCAGGAATGAGAATTCCAAAGTAAATCAAGTAGCTTCGACTGTTTCTGTAAGAAGACAAAGGTTCAGCATATTTCCACAGAAACAAAAAGTGGATGTATCGAGGACTGCGCCAGCCTTAGCATTTCAGAATAATCAAGCAGGAAACCAATGAAAATCCGCCCCCATCTTCTGGCGAAATGGGACCAATGAATCTCTTAATCGTAATTTAATGCTGAGCAAAAGCTCGAAAATGCAATGGCTCGTCAGGACACTATCAATTATGTGATTTGCATTCTCTGTTCATGTAAATGCGCAGACCAGTTGGGGCACCGTAAATGAAAAATGTCGATTTATAGTTATATGCTTCCATTTACATAAATAGCTATGCCTCTCATGTATACTCGCAGTTCTAGTCATTTCTTTTCCGATCAATCCACAAGTTAAAATGAAATGCCTATACTTCTGCTCCTTTCTGTCCATCAGTATAGGTTATATCAACGATGCCAGTCGTGGCAACAGAGGGGCGGATGTCTGCCCTATATAGCAGAGCAGATTTTTCAGAAGATTTATAATGAATTTTCATATAAGGATATAAAAAGGACCTACATTACCACTTAATTTCAACACATTAGCGACCAAGGATTACTACAGTTATCATTGAGGGTCTCAAAAACTTACTCATTACAAATACAAGTGGTGTTGCCGACTTCAGTAGCAAATATAAGTTTGCTTCATAGACAAGTGATAGATAGAAATTTGATATAGGAGAGGCCTTACTAATCTGAAAGGCAAGTCATCCCTGGGATCCCATGGCACCTATGGCACTGGCCTAACGTAACATGTGAAAGATGAACGCTGCCCTACTTGAGTACGATTCACGATGTCGTGTGGATATGCAGGCGAAGCGGAAGGTGCAGTCCAGTGTGAGTGAGATTACCGTTCTAGAGACAATGCTAAGTGAAAATCAATGGCACCGTAATGCATATTCATATCAATGTCGGAAAATTTACTATCAGTTATCCAACAGCCTAAGAGGCCAAGACCAAATTTTCGTCGGGGAAAGGATAACTGCCTATTCATTTTTAAGATGTACTATTCAAAAATAATATAGAGTAACACGAGGATTTTTTTAAAGTTCTCTCACTATGTAGATTTAAGTCAAAAACGATATGAAAACGTTTACTCTGAGTGGCAATACTCAATTATCTAAAAGCATGTAGCTCATTTATATTTACAAAAGTTCAAGAAAAGAAAGAACGTCAAAATAAACATTTTGACAAGAAATATCTGGTATGGTTTAGACCCAAAGTGGAAGATTGTGAGATAAACCAAGTAGAGAGCAGTTACCGTTAGAAGTAAATAAAAATAGAAATAGACAAATGAAGAGTAGTGAAGCTATAAATGGCAAGAATCACCATTACATTAACAACTGTGGCAACTGCGCTAAAAGCATCGGCACTATCAGGAAACAAATAATAAAGTAGAATATGCAACTCTTAAACAAGAGCATTTGAAATAAGAATGAAATAATCTAATTCCAGAAGCGGTGGGTTTAATGTTAAGTTCCGAGGTCCAGGGCTGATCGAATTCTAGACAGATTCAACATAAGCTATTGTAAAAAATAGTTAGTGGCATCAGTATAGATAAACCAGTGATCGAAGCCTAGCTTCATTAGCAAGTCTTATACATGGTTAGGATATTAGGTATTTATCACAGCGAAAAAAATGGAGCAAGAAAATTAACCGGGGAGAGGAGTGCAAAATACAAAGCACCAAAATAATGAGTGAATAAGAGTCAAATATGAGGAAGGATGGTACAAAAAGCACCAAAAATAGTAAAAGATTATGGTAATATTGTGTTAGTCAAAGAAAAGTCAGAGCCTAGGTGTTAAGGTATGATAAAACAAGTAAAAGAATTCGAAATTTAGCTGTTGCAGTAAATATGATACTGATGAAGATATATAAAAGATGGCTAGGCCTCAACAAAATTCAACTAAAGAATACATTTAAATTGAAATATGTCCTTAATACGCAAGATGAAGACAAAAATGTTCAAGACAGTGACACCGAAAAGCAACAGATATGGATAACCTGAGTCCAATAAAGAGGGAGCAAAGCAAGAACTATTTAAACATTTTGTACAATAGTCTTAAGAGAAGTGATGATAGAGATAAATAAAGGAAAGGCGATAGCCAAAAGCATTACTCAGAACCTACCAGGAAACATCTTGATCACTGACGTCAGATTGCCTATTTAATCAAGTTCGCGTAGCCGTTTGTACTCTAGGTGATTCGGTGCATCTCTGAAAAGGGTTTTCAATTCAAAAGCTTTGGCTAAAACGAGATTCATGTTATCATCGGTCCAATGATAGGTGGGAAGACGCTGAAGCATCAAAAGAAGTCCTTGAAAATCACCTTGGCACTTGAGGTCCTCTGCAAATTGTAGAAGGAAGGCGGCACAGACAAAGACGTGAAAGCGAGAAAATCCAAAATCTTCCGACTAAGATTTAACGAAAGGAGAAAAAGAAGGAAATTAAAAGTATATCTTTAGTATATAAATATTATTAGTCTTGCATTAAATTGTCTACCGCATAATGGTACAGATGATAGCAACTCTATACACAATAAAGTAGCAATAACGTATACTAAAGGGACGTTAGTATTGAGAGTGGATTGTAGTTTCAACTAAAATTCAAATTGAGTACACTATGATGAAACAAAGAGATTGTTAATAAGAACTGTTTTACTCTATTTTCTATAGGGTGAATGAATGATAATTGAAATTTTCCAATGATCTATGTAGACTCCGTGATGACAATAAATTTTGCAAAGCATTGCCCCCCAAAAGTAGTTTCATCTAGAATAGACTGCCCTCGCCTAGGTTTTAGCAGCACTTTTAACAGGAATCAAACTCTGGTAGTACAGCGTTTATTTTTATAATGCTACAATACCACATTGCAGTGGGTTCCAGTGTGTCACAAGGCAGATGCAAAATGCAAAGATAGTCAATGCATCCTAAAGTAAATAGAATCAGTATTCATGATTAGGTAATAGTATCAAAATTTACACAATATGAATTTAAGTAATGGAGTCTATTGTTATAGATACTATAAAAGTGCCTTATACCATTGCAAAAATGAGATATGAGGATTGACCAGCTAGCATCAATCGAGTTCTACTCCCGTTTGGGTTGACACCACCGAGGTGAGTACAAAAGTGCAGTATATCCTGAATGAAAAAACCTTCTCAGGCATAGTTGAGGTAAATTCAATAGTAGTGGGGCCCGTTTATAGTAGTGATAAAATTCAACTATAAGTCCTTCGTTATCATGTGCGAGCTAGAGTGAGAATAGATTAGCTACAATTCATCTAGATGTCACGTTTTCACGTGATTCAATAAGAAAAATAAAGATGTCACTAAATTTAACACGCTATTAAAGTATTCTAGTTATCAGGTCTCACAGCAATCACTAATATGAGACATTTATATCATAATATATTATTATTACCAACACCTAGCACTCGACAGTTGCCTGTGATACTCAATCCACAAATGCGTATCGATTAGAAGCTGAAAACATACTATCGAGTTGCATATACTAATTATTGAAGTCATCCAAATGACAGTTTCATCCTGGTCCAAATAATCATGTTAGATGAGTACCATATATGTATCCCATAAACGAATACTGCAGCGTAGAGGAACCTCGCGTGTGAGCAAATTGTTCATCCAGCGAAAAGCAAACTGAAGGTATTCCACTTGGTGATGACGCAGATGAGCGTGCAACTCAGAATCTACACGCTCAACTAGACTGGCCAGCATGCCGAGATTATGCTGAATGCCTGGTAAGGGGAAAGTATAGTTATCCTGGATGCTATCAAGGAGGCGAGATACGCACCAGAATACATCAGCCTCCACTTCCTCCAGCTGGTCAGGCGTTGGCTCAGGCAAGAGAGTCAATTCGCCAGAAGTTGTGAGATCTATTCGGGGTAAAATATGATCTGCATTATATCTTTAATATCATTAGATTTAGGATCTTTAAGAATCATTCAACAAGTTGAAGTTTAGTTCGAACAAGATTCTCCTATTGAATTTTATAAAGCCTCCGAAAAAGAACTAAAGGAGTTGATAAGCCATATTTAAGGAGGTAAACAGGAAAAAGAAAGAAGATCGAAAAAATGTAAAAATAAATCAAGAAATAAGAGTAAGGGCATTGGAAATTAAGTATCAAAAGTTGAGAAAAATCAAATGAAATTCAAAAACTTTTGGGAATGTAGCAAATTAATGACCTGATGCTGAAAATCACGAATATTATGCCAGAAGTAGCCCTAAGTGTGTTCCACAAAGTCGCTTTGCCACTCTAACCATGTTGCGAAAACGAGGTCAAACCAGTAAAATACAGCTGAAGGTGACTGCGGCCAAACCCCACCTTGGTCTTACTACATACGAAACTCACTCATAGCACAATGAGCATAGTTTAGAATAGCCAATGAAAAACCTGCATTAAGTTGCGCCTTAGCAATAAAATTGCATTGTAAGGTGCGTTCAGAAAACAGGTTACCTCTTTAAATAGTCGTGAGCAGTAATAGCGCATATTCGACAGATATTTCCAATTTGCTTGCAAATGAATATATAAGTAATAGAGTAATGGGCGTAAATACAAAGCTAACCAAAGCTATCGCTTCCTTCATCGCCTATAATAAAATAGGGTGAATACAGTTCCTGTGTATAAAGTGAAGAAGCAGAATAAAACAATAAACTCATGTGGTCGATTTTATGTTGGATAGACTTGTCGTCCCATTTGACAAAGGATGGCAGAGCACAAAAGCGCTGTAGAGGATATCGGGTTAAAAATCATAGCTAACTAAGCACAAGGTAGAGACTGGAAATGAGATTGAATGTTCTCAAAGTAATCGTTTTGCTGATTATGGTATGTCTGCTGATAAACGTAAAATTAGAGAAACCATCGAAATAAACCGAATAGGCAATACATTGAATTTAAGGAATACCGGCAAAAAGTTACATAAAAACTACTTGTGCTTAATTAATAGATGCGAGGATAGAGAGTGTAGTGGGTAGTTGTAGAGGTAGTGGTGTTGAGCCGCCTGTCAAAAGGAGACGACTCAACTACTCTTTTCTTTTGTTGTCTTTGTTCTGATCACGGTCACTTTTCTATACTTTTAACCCAAGCTTTCTCTCTCACATGAAGACAAAAAAGCTCATCAGCATAACCAGACGTGTCCGACCTTATGCAATCGGAGTGAGGGTTTAAATATATAGGAGGGAAAGTGATTGTGGTTATCAAACTTTGACGGCCGAGAACGGACAATACTTTATCTGTTCTCATTACTCTGAACCATCAATGCTGGTCATGTGCATATGAGAACACATTCAGGCAAATACACATACATACTCACATGCTTCGAGGTTGACATATGTGACCTGAACTAACCAAATCACTTTATAACTCATCAAAGAGCTCAATATAGAGTTTATATACAGCATTTACGAACCAACTGCTGAGTTTTCTTGACTCGTTAGCTTGAATATAATTATAAACATGAAGCTCTGCTCGGATGATGTCCGTCATATGAAGGACGAAGGCATTTTCATAGGGATCAAAGGAGATTGTCTCTGAAACAATGTTGACAAGAATGTTCCAGTAAAGCCAATCGACAGCTGGAAAAGAGAAATCCGTTGTAATCTTTTGGTTGGATCGAACTGAACATCGAACATCTTCACTCGAAATGGAATTGAGCAAAACAAAAATAATGAATCTGGAATAGGTAGACCAAATAAAAATCGCATTGATACTTTGTTCCGCTATGGCGACTCAATGGATTCTACTCTAAATAAAAGATCAAGAAATTAATGTAGAACGTGGTCATATAAAACGGCAGTGACAAAAGACTCGGAAGAAGATATCAGAAAGATAAAATTGTAAGAAGGAGAGTAGTCGTAATAAAAGATAAAAATAAATAAAGCGATATCACCCCTATGAATGTAAAACCTTGAGTTAAGGATATACAAAAGTAATGGTACATAATGATTCGAAAACTAGAGCGTGGTCTTTAGTAGAAATATGAAGGAGACTTGAGGGAAAAATGAGTCTTGAAAATATAGAATAATGAAAATAAGAGTTTACGAAATAGTAGGGAAGTGAAAATATATAGAAAAACAAGATTGTTTTAATGAAGAACGTTTTATGGAGAGGATCTAACTCAAAAAATATTATCTTGTAATCCAAAATATTTAGTCTAAAATAATAGTCCTCTGTTAAGACCAAAACCCAGATTAATCTTTGTTTATTTATCGTCAGTCAGTATACGGACAATTTCTAAAGAGTAGCAAATCTACGAGGATAAAAAGATAGGTGGTTGCTAGTCTAAACAATACTTCAAATACTTTGTTTAATGATAATGATAATATGCTTTTATGACACTCATGTAAACATTCCATTCGATCAAAGACCTGCAACTCATCGTACTCTTTTGCGATTTGTGTGATATTCTGTGTATTATTTAAACTGCCTGAGTCAAAACCTAGTTCTAGGTATATTAAGCTATCTTCTTCGGCTTTGAAGATTCTTTTATCCTTTCTCCTGCTACTATACCATTTAGTTATTTTGTATGTATTACGTCCACTGTCAGATGCTTGGAATCAAGACAACTAATATGGCAGACGACTTCGGACTAGGTGCGTTCTACATAGTCTCCCTGAACACAAGACTAAGTTGCGGCAACGAGGTCAATCCACTTCTATAAATCGAAAGGAGACTGCGACCATAACAGAGACCACAACATCTTGGTCTTCATATATATAATAAGAAGGTTCAATGGAAGCATAAAACATTGAATGAGCGAGCTGAACAAGGTGAAAGTAAAAAATATATTAAGGCACACCAAAAGATTAGGTAATTTTAAATTCTAGACTAAAACGTTTAAATAAGAATCAGTAAAGACGTGTGGATTAAGATTATAGCAAAAATTAAGTGCTATAAAACTATGTATATATAAGGTTTCATAAAATTTGTCAGCTGAGCTTGCGAACCTATAAGTTTCATATAATGTACTCCTAAAAAGGTTAGATAACTTCAAATATTGTAGCTAATATCCATGTCTGTTTATGAGCAAAGCAATAATTTTTGCATCTTGATGTCTGATTAGATAATAATGTACGCCTACCAACTCGAATATATTCTGCCAAAAAAACAACAAAGAACGGCGACAACAGATCGTTGATGCCTTGAACGTATCCACTAGCCGGGTGCCGATTCGACCATATGAAGAGGATGCGCTCGAACAACTAGTCAAGAACAGAATAAAAGAGGGGAAATTATGTAAGCAGTTAATAGTGCAAATCGAAGTGATCTATTAACTTAAGGTTACACCTAATATATTGATCAGTAGAATGCACAACTGAAATTAAATGACGAGAGAAAAAAGCAATAAAAATATTCAACGACAGCTAAATATTTTAAAAATACAGCCCAATGATAAAAGAATAACAAAGTTGTTCATGATTTTCAATTGACTTATTTATAACTTTAACCACAAGTTATATCTCTTCTCTCTTATAACATGTCCTGCCAATTAGCGACAAAATAATAGTATTACAAAAGCGGTCCACAAACTGAGCTGACCTGCAAGAGTTAAGATGTAATCCGTCATTAAAGTAGTATTTGTTTTGTTAGTTAATTTAGCTAAGACTATGTAGCCTGGTCAAAGTAAGCTAAAAAAATTATAGCAGGATATAAAATGCAAATTTGGATAGGAAAGCACTAGATATAGTAAAATTTGCTTAAAAATGCCAAGTCTTCTATTGTATCTATTATGGGTGTCAGTTATATACTCTTGAAACTACAAGTGATCAATTGTATTAATTATCTTATACACGAGCTATATCGAGACAAATCGAGAGAAAAATCAAAATAAGCAAAAGCTATCAAAAAGTTATCCAATTAAATATAGAAAGGACGGTGAAATAAAATTAAAATAAAAAAGTAAGTGGAAAATACGCCTGAGGTATAATGGGAACTAAGGTTGGTATAATGAGCCATTTTATGCGTTTTTATTCTGAATTTATGAAAGTGAAAGTTATTATAGATATCTTAGCAACATTATGCATAAGAACATAAAGCTGCGCAAGAAGTTTCGAAACTATGATAATGATATTCGTATTGAGGGCTCGACAACGCCAATAAATCTTGAATAAGAACTATATTTACCCCAGGCAACATAAAGCAATGAAGGACTGATAGTCAAATTTTCTCACAATGACATGAGTAGATTGTACACTTCAGATGGTATTCAGATATAGGGCGGATTGTAATTTCAGGTTCACCTAATTATCATCAGGATTCTTGATGGAAATCGAACTCAAAGAAGAGCACATACACACTTCTAGAAAATATAAACCAAACTGCCCGGAGTTGAGGGTGCAGATGAGACCCATGAGAGGTCGAAAATGCAGAACACCCTGAATGAGATAACCTTTTTCAGGCAAGAAAGCGTGATGCCTACCCAAATCATTGTGATAAAATCAAATTAGCTCTTCGTTGCTTTATTTAACCTAGGATAAATACAGTTATCATATAAGAATGAAAGTTTGTAAAGTTGCTAAAGAATGTAGGATGAGGTAAAAGAAAAGATAAAAAACTGGTAATTTTGATAAGGTATATATGGATGACAAAACTCCACCAGTTTAAGCATTCCTACAGTGTCTCATGATCTTATTCCTGAGTGAGAAATAGTAAAAATGTACAAAATAGAGATTATTTTTGTTAAAGTAATGATTTTGAAAGATACCTCTAGAAAATCTCATTTGCTTGATATCCTATATGCTTTATCTTACTAGTTTATCTCTTTGTTAGAAAGACCTTCATTTCGTATGAAAGTGCATGAAGAAGAGATTCGTTGGTCGATCTCACCAGATG